CTGCTGCTGCTGCTGCTGCTGCTCCTCCGCCTACTCCTCCTCCTCGGCTCTGGAATCTCCTCCCCTCCCCTCTCTTCCGTCCTCTCCTCACCTTCCTCTTACTTCCCGAGATTAGACCTCCAGCAAACTTCGGGGGGCCATCCTGCTGCTGCTGCTGCTGCTGCTGCTGCTGCAGAGCTCGTCTCATCGAACTGGACAATAATCCTCCTCGCAGGGCTTCCGGGGGCACAACGACAGGCTTCTCCTCCTCGATACTCCTCTGCTTCTTCTTCTCTTCCCTCTCGACATGGTTCTTCTTCTCGGCCCCCTTCGTCTGCAGCGACAGAACTTTCACCTCCTTCTTCTGCGTCTCCTCTGCTGACTCTGCCTGCATCTGCAGAAACTTCTGCTCCTCGGTGGTAAGAACACGAGAAGGAGTGGAGGAGGAAGGGGCCGAGACGCTATTCCCCTCCTCCTCCTCCTCCTCGTCCGACAGGCTCGTCGCCGTCAGCTCCTCCTTCCTCTTCTTGGACAGCAGGATCTCTGGCGCAGGAGGAGCCATCATCTGCATCTTCGCAGTGATCGGCTTGGCTGCTGCTGCTCTAGCAACGCTGGCGTCCTGCTCCCTGACAGACAGCATGCAACCCTCGTTCCAGTCCGGGGTCTTCCCGTCGTAGGCTAGCACAGCTTCCTTGTCCCCTCAGCGAAGTTGATGTACGCTGCCCTCGTAGCCAGCCGATGGTGCATCAGTGCATCAGCCATCTTAATCGAGTGGATCTTGGCATGCTGTGAAAACTCCCTCGAGAGCGGCTCCTGCCCGACCGTCCAGTGTACTCCTCTGACCGACACGCTGAACTGAATCTCTTTCACAGCAGCCACTGCCCGAGCGAGAAAGTTTGCCTGCTGTCGGATGCTGATGGACATCCCTTGGTTGAAGGGAGGAGATGTGTTGTTGAGGGCCAGGATGTCAGACGCTTCTCCGGATGAAAAGTTCACTGCAGGCAGACATGTAAGAGGGAGACTAAGAGGATGAGCAGGAGGAGCAGGAGGAGGAAGAGAAGGAGCACGAGCGGGAGGAGGGGGAGGAACAGGAAAGAAAAGGGAGAGACATTTCCCCACTGGTAGTGCTAGGAGGGATACAGCAAGGAATGATTATGGCTCTTACCGTACGCGGCTCCCGTCGTCATGCCGGGCTTGAGAGGAACTTGTTTCACGCTCACAACCGATCCAAACTGAGAGAAGAAACTTTGAAGCTCCTCCTCCGACACCCCCGGAGCTATTCCCCTCATGGAGAAGCTGAACTTTATGTTGGACATGATCGTACTCTCAGGGGCGAAGGAGGGACGGCAGAAAGAGTCGAGGGAGAGAGTTTGAGGGGAGAGAGAGAGAGGGAGAGGTTGGGAAGGAGGCAAAAACAGTCACGGCAACAGCTACTGGCCCCTTCCCCTATCTCACTGGAGTAAGAGTGCAGTCATGAAGGTTCCTAGTTGATAGAAAGGAGGTTTGAAGCAGAACACCTCCCTGTAGAGGAGCAACCTTTGAGGAAGATGTCAGATGTCAAGGAATAAAAAGAGAAGAGTTCGCCACGAAAGATGGCATGTCAAGATCGTTTAAAGAGCCAATAAGAGAAAACATGATCATGGTTATGTACAGAAGAGTTTTGAACATTGGAAGCAAACACTTGGAGGGGAAAACAAGAAGTAAGGAAGAGGAAAGCGACTAGGATTGTGATAATGGAAGGACGAGGAGTAAAGGATTCAGGGAGAAGGAAAAAGTGGAGAGAGGAAGGATATTCAGGATCAGGCTCAGTAGGAGGAGGAGAGGAAGAAATTCAGGATCAAGATCGTCAGGATGATGAGCAGGATAGGGAGAAGAGGGGGAGGAGGAGAATCAAGGGGACCAGGAGGGGGGGAGGACGGAGGAGGAGGAGGATAATGAGGAGGGGGATAATGAGGAGGGGGAGGAGGAGGAGGAGATGATGATGATGATGGAGGAGGAGGAGAAGTAAGAGGAGGAGGAGGAGGAGGAGGAGAAGCAGGAGGCGGCGAAGCAGGACGAGGAGGAGCAGCAGCAGTGTAGCATTTCTTCTGAAGCGATTCGAGAGGATCCAGCACTTCACATCATCCCCCTCATACCCGTTACTACCCCGCCTCTCACATCACCCCCCTAATCATAAGTTTTATCTGGGAAAAGGTACCCGTGTTTGAAGTACCCGTCCTTTCCTCTTCCATTGTTGGGAAATACCACCCCTACCTTGGTCTCCCCTCCTGAAATAGGAAACATGGCTGCTGGTACTGAAACAAGCGCATCATATCAGTTACAGCACATTCACGATCACAGCACATACTTTCATAACTCTCTTGTCATATCATATCTGCCCTGCCCTGCCCTGCCCTGCCCTGCCCTGCCATGCCATGCCCTGCCATGCCATGCCATGCCATGCCATGCCATGCCATGCCATGCCATGCCATGCCATGCTCTGCCTTGCTCTGCCTTGCTCTGCCTTTTGCCCTGCCCTGCCCTGCCCTGCCCTGCCCTCCTCTGCCCTGCTCTGCTATGTTTTCATTTCCCCCATCCTCCCTTCCCCTCCCTTCAGTTTCCGACCGATCCCAACCGATCCCATCCTTTCACATCCCAATTACAATTTCAACCACCACTACAACCACCATTAACAATCCCATCTCACTCGCTCTCTTTTACAGCGCAGACGCTTTCTCATCTGACAAGCATGTCAGGTTACGGCAGCATGTCGCTCGTCAGTTGAAACGCCCCTCCCTCCATTACACAAATGTCAAGCTTCCCGCTCGCCGATGGCTTCTTCTTCTGCATCACGCTCCGTTTCGGTGCATACGCCATCGCGCTCTTGGACTTCGTTTCCTCAATCTTCCTCTTCATCAGCTGCTGTGTGGAACTTGCGAATCCGGAGATAGTCAATCGGCATGCAGACAACAGTGCGTTCGGTGCCATTGGGAATGGACACACGGAGTTTGGAAGCAGCAGGATTATGATGAGGAGCAGCAGAGCTTTTCTCCTGCTCTCCTTCTTAACTTTGTACTTCTCTTTCAACGGCGCCATAGCTGCCAGGTCCTTTCTTGCACCATCACAGACACTTTTTCCCCTCTTCTCGCACTTCTCCCTCGTCCTTGCTGTCTCTCGTCCTCCTTCCCTCCTCCATCCCTCCCTCCCTCCCTCCTCCCTCCCCAACCCTCTCCCTCATCTCCCTCCTCTCCCTCCCTCCTCTATCATCCCTCACTCCCTCCTGCTCCCTTCCCCATCCCTCACTCCCTCTCTTGCCATACCCATCGGTGAGAGATCTATGAAACAGGATAGGACATCTCGAGCATCTCAGAGTTTATCTCCACTGGAAGGCGCTCAAAACGATCCTTACGATCGTCCTCCATGTCCTCCTGCATCGGATCTGGTGGGATGGATGCGGCATTCTAAGCAACGATGCTTGTCTGGACTTGAAGATGCAGTACATCTTCATGGGGGTGCTCTGGTCCATCCCCGACTTCTACTTCCTCTGGATAGTGTGGTCATTGTGTGAAATTCTTCTTATCGGCACTGAGGAAGGTTCGTTTCTTCCTCTTCCTCTCTCCCCGTCGTGATCGATCTGTCGCTCCAGATCTCCGCAAGGCCGGGTATGACATGTGGGACATCGAAGACCGCCGCGCACTGGAGGCCAACGGCTATCAGGTATGGTTCACCTGCTGCCTTCAGCAAGTGAATGAAAATTGCAGGCTGTTGCATCTACCGCCCGCCCTGGGCAGACTACATGGCTCGTGTAAATATTCAATGTATATCGGCATTGCGAAGAAGGCAATGAAACTCTCAGGAGATAGGTGGAGGAAAGCTTAATGAATGGAATGAGATCACTTTCAACATACTCCATGCATCCAAATTTTGTATTTGATGATGTCCTAAGAACATAGTGGTCTAGAGGTAACTTTCGGAGTTTACTTGAGCTTCTTCTTCAAGCGGAGCTGGCTGCTGTGACCGCACTTCTTCTTGCGGCAGTTCACAGCGCGGAGGGGGAGACGAGCGTAGCACCTATCGACTCGCGTCAGCCAACAGGAAGAAGAGGGTGAAGAATATATATCACCTTCTGCAAATCTTCTTGTCAGTGCGGTACTTGCGGGCAAGAACCAAGAGGGAGGGCTCGATGATCCCTCCACGGAGACGCAAGACAAGGTGGAGAGTAGATTCCTTCTGGATGTTGTAGTCCGCGAGGGTTCTGCCATCCTCGAGCTGCTTTCCGGCGAAGATGAGGCGCTGCTGATCCGGAGGGATTCCTTCCTTGTCCTGGATCTTGCTCTTGACCATGTCGATGGTGTCCGAGGACTCGACCTCGAGGGTGATGGTCTTCCCCGTCAGAGTCTTAACGAAAATCTGCATCCTAGTTCCCCCTGCCGAAGAGTGTGAGAACTCAGAAAAGTGTTTGGGGCTGATGATTGAATCAGTTACAGTCACGATGAGTGACACGAAAAGAGAACGAGATGTTATGTTGTGAACGCATGCAAGAATTCAAGAAAAAAATCCACACACTCAAGGCAGACTCATGACACGCCCTCAACCTTGTCTACCTTACAAGAAGTAAAGCAAGGGCTACACCACCCTCATACCCGGTTGCGCAAGGTCTGAATCTACATCTATGATCTCCTTCTCAATCTAGATAAAGTGAGTTTTGCTGTTGCCCTGTGACAACAGAACACTCACATAAACCCTTCACTGGTAACACATATACCCTCGTCTCACACAAGCCAATCGTCCTCTGAACACACTGACGAAATTCTAGCGTTTCACGGTTTGGAACTTCCTCATATAATGCCGACATCATAAACAACGTAAGAACATCAATGTTTGCTAACAAGATGTTCCTAAGAAGATGTTTCTCATTCCTTTCCACGCGTCATAAGCTAGATGATCACCCTTCATACATTCTCGTCCCCTTGTTTGCCTTGACCCCTCAATTATCTCATCTCACTTTTCCATCCTTCCTGAATGGAACCTTCATTATCAGTATTCTCACCATCAGAACATTGAAATATTTTCAAAGAGCCGTTTACAAACGCGCATTTCTTTACCCAACACGCTTGCTCATCACATCACTTATAACTTCGCAGGAGTACGTCACATCGCCACTCACTCTCAACCATATACTCAACTCTCCATCCCATCACCATCGATTGTCAACAGAGCATCTATCTCCACCTCTGACGCCCATCCTTCAATCTCACCCTCCCCCCTCCTCCTCCCTCGCGTCCCTCTCCTCCTCGCCTCGTCTCCTTCTTTCTCCCCGACATGCGCCGCCACCTAAAAAAGAAGTCCTCGTGCTCCTGCTTATGTTCTTTTTTCATACGTTACAAGGTCGTTGATAAACAGTTATTGTCGTTATATTTGACCGTTATTACCGATATTGATTACGAAAGGAGGGGTCCTGGAAGAGGTCATGGGATGGGTGATGAGAGGGATCGTAGCGCTCTAAGGCGAAGGTGGAAATGGAGGGGAAGGTTGGGGGACAGGAGGAGGAGGAGGAGGAGGAGGAGGAGGAGGAGGAGGAGGAGGAGGAGGAGGAGGAGGCTTTGAGAGTTGTTCACATAACAGACTTTCATGTCTTCAAAGACCCATCATCCATGCTTTCCTCCGGCATACTGCCCTACGAATCCCTCAAGTTTATAGTGCAGAATGCCCTGAGTGTCGCAACTCAACCCGACGCTGTCTTGATGACTGGGGATTTCACACACGACGAGTCCATCGAGGCGTATGAAATGATAGCTGATCTTATTGCTAAGGCCTGGAACACAAAGAACACCCCTGTCCTTTACGTCCCTGGGAACCATGATGACGTCGGAAGAATGTCCGAAGTCTTCATGAAGCATGGAATGGTTGGATCAAACGGACCCGGCAGGCCGTGCGCTTTCCCGCTAGGCGCATGGAGTATTCTGATGGTATCTACGCACGTTGAAGGCGAGATCTTCGGGAGGATAGAGGATGGGGACCTGCGGTGGATAGAGAGCTCGCTGAGTGAACGACGGGGACAACCGTGTGTCCTGGCAATCCACCACCCCCCACTATCACCAGAACCAAGAACGCAGGTACCCGTCTTTCTTGCAGACACTTTCATAGCATAAATGTGTTCTCTTGCAGGAAAACCTTTGGACAGAAAACTGTCTCAAAAACGGAGAAGAGCTCCTTGCCGTGCTGTCAAACCACCCCAATGCGAGGCTGATGCTTCACGGTCACCTCCACTCCGACACGCGATGCCGGGCAACTATTAGCTGCATGCAAGTCGGAGCTCCCGCTACCTGCCATCAGTATGATCCCACGAAGGGCTGGAGGCCTGGTCCTTGCTGCCTTGAACCTGGGTTTCAGATGGTATCGCTGCGGAAGGACGGTACCTTCGACCTTGATGCTAGACTTGTACCTTTCCTGCCTTGATCTCGGTGCGAACTTGACACAGGGCCGCATTCTTGTACATGCATCATCTCTTCTTTCAAGTTCCTATGACTCGTGTAGATTCTTGAATTCAGTGTTTCATTAGTAAGTCAGACGGACGGTCATCCCATGACCCGATGGTCAGGTGTCAAAAGTTCCGGCGTTGGCAATTCACTCACTGAGTCCGACGGTCCGATCAGTCACACGGTGTGCCGGGCGGCCGGCAAGCCTTGAAGTTGGGCCGCCGGTGGCACTGTCAGTGTACCGCCGCGAGTCGGACCCGGAGTCGCCCGGGCGGCCACGGCCCGCCGGGGCGCCGCCCGGCCGCGGCGGTGTCGGACGGTCCGAGGTCACCGGCACTGCACGCACCGTCACGGTTGGTGACACCGCGGCCACGGCGGGCCGGCCGGGCCCGGCGCTGCCGCAGACTGTGCCGGGAAGTGAGCGGCTACCACGGTGCCACGGACCGTGACACTGACGGACGGTCACTGAGGCCAGTGAGCCTCCGTGGCACCGCGCTCCCGGGCGAGGCTCGGCAAGCGCGGCCCATGCCATGATGGTCACTGTGCCCGAGTCGGCAGGGGCTCCATTGAACCGTCAGTACGCTCGCCGCCCGGCCGGCCGCGGGCGGGCCGCCGCGGCGAATCCCGGAGCCTCCACTCAGCCGGGCCCGCCGGGCAGTGCCGCGCGCCGCAGGCAGGGCAGTGCCGGGCCGCCGCCCGGCCGTCCGACTCTGCCACTCAGGTTGCTTGAAGTACCACTGTGACTCATAAAAAAAATTTGTACCCTACCCTCTTTTGTCAACCGTGATTCAGGAAAACTTTGGGTGGTAGGAATGATGGGGGTAGTAGGTGGACCTTGAGTCCCTGTCCACGTCATCCTCGAGGGGTACGTTGTCATCAAGTACCGGTACTTTTGATATAAGAATAAACCTCATGATAAGGGTAGGGTAGTACACCCTTCTTTTCATTGAGTCAAGTACCGGTGGTATCAAAGCCATTCTTGTACCCCATGGACGCATTCAAGGTACCCCTCCATTCATACTGGAACCACCCACCCCATTGAACACGTCAGACTACCACTACCCCCCTTGTCAATACTGATCACTCATAAATCACCCATCAGGATCTACCACCCTACCCCTATTCCACCCCACCTAAAATTGTCCGCTGATCCACTACCCTATTCAAAATTAACCCTACCCTGGTATTTCTCTTCACTTTGCCTCCATTTTACCCCTTCCGTAACTCAGAGGAATTTCCCACCCCTGCTCACACTACCCCCACCCACCGCTTGGAACCACTCCCAGGAATCCCCATTCCTACACGATTACCACCCATCGGGACAAGCACCCACCCCCGTAAAGCCCAGTCACACCCAGAGTTCCTGGTCCTATCACCCCTACCTACCTGATAGGAAGGATTTTGTGAGATATGGAGGGGTATGCAAGTTATTTACCACCCACCCTGGCATTGATCCCTTTCACTCTTGCTGACCCCTACCCAGATTGATCTAGTACCCCACCCCTTGTGACATCACCTGCTCACACGACCATGTAGTCGCCTTCCGCTGGCGAAAATGTTTCCTCCCTCCCTCCCTCCCTCACCCCGCTTCATCCTCCCCCTCCTTCTCATGCTCCTCCTCCTCCTCCTCCTCCTCCTCCTCATCCTCATTTGTGTTGATGTCCAGTGCCACAACAACCTCTCCTCTTTCACAAGCCTGTTCGTTCAACAACCTTCTTGTTCGTTCAACACCAATTATGATCTGATGTTTTGCCAGTGTCGATGGGTCGATTCCCTCTACCTTTGCACTCTGTCGCTTCTCCTTCCTCTATGCAATCCTTGTTGCGACTATCTTTACTCGCCATCCTGGTTTCATCGTGCCAGTTTCCTTCGTCGCCATCTTCCGTTCCTCTGTCCCATGTACACTGGCAGTCTGATTCTTGGAGTGATCCACATCTGCATAACCATGCATCATCCATACTTCTCTATAGATTCACTCCACTATAAGCTTCCTGCAGTTATCTGAATGTGTTTCAACATCCGAGAGAGTGCCGATATGCCTGTCTGTTCTTGAGGAAGGTTCACTTCGGATAGGAGTCAAGAGATCAGTTGGAGGAGTATGGTTGGTATGACGGTGCTGACTGAGCGGTCAGGATGGATGAGACTAAGGAAAACCCTTACGTGAAGACAGTGAGCAAGGTAAGTCTCACAGCCCTCCCTGGATCGGGATTGACGTGAGACAACAGCGTCTTCGTAATGTTAGGAAAAAGCTGCTCAAGATCGAAGGGCTGGAGACCAAGACAGAGAGCTTGAACGCTGAGCAAGAAGTGTTGGTTCAGAGCAAGCCAACGCTCAAAGTCTTGAACGATGAGCTCCAACAAATCCTCTTGACCTTCGAGACTCTCGAAGTCTCTGCGGAGGCTGGGAATGTCCTCGAGGTAAGAACCAACCGCTCTCTCCCTCTCTGCTCCTCCTCGCCACTTCTTTCATCTTTCTATCCATCGTTTTCCTTCTGGCTCCCCCCCTCCATCTCTCGCTGCTGCCCGTCTCACTGTGCCTGCAGCAGCCCAAGAGCTCGGATTCCAACACGAGCAAGCCGCAGATGAATGGAGATGAAGGAGACGATCTCAAGGTGTCAGAGACTGATTCCAACGACACGTTCAGCAGCCAGGGACAGCAGCAGATCAAACCTGAGGCAGCTGAGGAGAGCAGAGTTGCAGGAGAAACGAACCTCACGGCCTCTGACTCCACTCCCTCCGTGGAGGGAGAGGCGGCAGGAGCAAACGGAGAGGACAAGGTCTCGGATGCAGCCCTCAGCAGGCTGTTGGAGAGCGTGGCCGTGCTTGTGAAGACTCTAAACATGCTATCGAACCCGATGTTGTATCAGCAGCTCCTTTACGTCTTCCCCGACCATATCCTCCGTGACATTGTCAGACTTGCCCACCTCTGTCTCGAAATGCCAACCTTTGACAACACAGGAAACGTCATCATGTCAGTACTCTCCTTCCTCCTGCCTCCCTCCTTCTCCTGTTCTCTTCTCCTGTCGCTCTCCAGTGCTGACTTCCCTCGATTGTTGTCTCCTCCATTGCCTTCCCGCGCCTACCTCGTGCCTCCTCCTGTCTCACAGCTCTCTACAGGAAGCAGGAGCTGCCAGGTGTGGAGCATCTGAGGAGATACGCTGAGTACAGCGAGGAGAGAGTGAAGATTATCACTGTCGGAGACAACTCTATGTACTTGTCCTGCTCCTACGGCGACCTCGCCAAGGGAGTAAAGCACATCTTCGACTATATCGCACAGGTGGAGGACAGCTGGGCTGGTGCTGGGATCGGGTCATCTGATCTGCTACAGGTCAACGCTGTCTTCGCACAGAGGGCACAGGGGATGGCGGATCAAGCGCCCCCTCATGGGATCGACATGGCTCAGCCCTATCCTGCCACCGCCATGCCCTCCTCTCCTTACATGGCCGGCCCGGCCCCGGCCAATTTCGCTATGCAGCGAGGTGACAGGAGCGCTTGGTGGTGGAGCGTCGAGTGCTGACGTCACTCGCTCTAGTTGGAATGATGCCCGAGGTAGCGTATGACCCGACCATGCAGCCGATGGCCGAGGCCATGCAGGGCCAGCAAGCGGTCAGTTCAGACGCGCTTCTCCTCCTCTCTGACCCTTCGCCTCAGGTCTATGCCGCTACCGCAGCCAGCGGGTGGGACTTCACCATGCCGATGTACGCGGCTGGTCAGGACAGGAAGGGCAACAGAGGCATGCGCAACTTTCCTGGAGGGAATCACGGACAAGGTAGTAGACAGCGAAGAGAGGAGGGAAAAGGAGATATAGGTGGGAGAGGATGGAGGAGGAGGAGAGGGAGGAGGGAGGGGGAGATGTGACGGTCACTGAAGGAGAATCAGGTGGACGAGTCAGAGATCATCAGGCTCGTCACAAGGGCAAGAAGCAGACGAGATATGACAACGGAAACGGGCAGAGAGGAGGAGAGGGCGAGGGCGAGGGAAGGAACCAACGAGACAACAGGGGGGATGGGGGGAGGCGAGATCGGGGGCAGAAGGGATCCAAAGGAAACTGGATGGGACAGAATCATGCTGGCCCGCAGCAAGTGGGTAAGCAGGGAAATGCGGAGGGAGGTCAGCAGGAGGCGGAGGAAGCAACAGCTTAAGCTGGATATGTATTCTTTTGTACAGCGACGAGGGCAGAGGAAGAGAGGAATAGGATGTTTATTGTTCTTATTGTTGAGTGTGAAGTACGAGGAACAAAGCCAGGAGGGGAGGTAAAGGTGTGAGGTAGAGGGAGCAGGTAGAGGAGTGGGGAGAAGAGGTAGATGGCAAGGTAGAGGTGACAAGAAGGTATGAGGCGGGAGGTGTTGGTGATTAGAAACTGTCATGTGGTATTGTCGTATCATAACATATCATGTCATGTAAATCGGAGAGTGTTTGGGTATTCCTTGGATTCATTGAATGATTTCAGCATGAAAGACTCTTCTTTGCCGAGTATCGGAGTGCCGAGCTGATAACGCTGCACCTCGTCACCCAACAGGAGGTCGAGATCAACCAATCAGCAGCTGCAGAGGCGACGGAGGACAGTTTGGTGTGTGTACAGGAGGGGAGGGGAACAAATCATCAGCTCGTATCCTCCTCCATCTGCACGCGAGCTGCCCAATGGCAGCTCCCAATGGCAGCTCCGCGTCTTCAGTCCCTGCGGCACATCGCTCCCGTGCTTACGCTCTTCGCTGTAGGCGAGGATCGTTCTAGGTGGAGTGCAGGTGAGGTCGAGCAAGGGGCAAGGGGAGAAGCTTACAGGAGCCTTGGGAGTGGAAGAGCCGAAGCTGGTGTTGGCACCCCCGAACGCCATGCCCGGCGAGCCCTGCATGGAGACGGCAGCAGTGAAAGAAGCGCCGCCACCCGACCCGAAGCCACCGAAAGAGGTACCTCCACCTGAGGCATGGAGAGTGAGGAGAGCAAGGTAGGCGGGCAGGAGGAAGCGAGCAGGACAGTAAGAGAGAGGAGGAACAGGGGAGCAATAAAACACAAGGCAAAGAGGAGGAAGAGAGGAGCAGGAGAGCGGGTTCCGAAAGAACGAGGGGTAGAAGGCATGGCATCGGTCTCCCCGACAGCTGGCTGGAGGGCCAAGGAAGCAGGAGGATTTGCCGGTGCTCACCAAAGGTTGTTCCACCAGGAGACGAGAAGGACGAGAAGGAAGCAGCGGTTTGTGTTGAACTGCCCAGAGCCTGCGCATGCGGTCGGCCGGGGATCAGACAGGACTAGCAAGTTGCACCTGCTGCTGCCCGAAGGCGATGGTACTCTGTGAAGAGGAAGTTCCGAAAGAGAAGCTTGCTCCTGTCTTGGCTCCTCCAAGGGGCTGCGAGGTTCCGAAGGAGGGAGTAGCCTAGCAAGCGATCAGAGCACATTAGGGCAACCATGGCACTTTCAACCTGAGACGCGAAACCTGTCGGGCAAGTCAAAGTCAGCCCATCACACACAAGGAGCAGGGAAGACGGACCGAAGGATGTTGAAGTCGATCCAAACCCAAAGCCTGTTCCTGTCGACCCTCCGAAGCCTGCTCCTGTCGACCCTCCGAAGCCCGTTCCTGTAGACCCTCCGAAGCCCGTTCCTGTCGACCCTCCGAAGCCTGTTCCCGTCGACCCTCCGAAGCCCGTTCCTGTAGACCCTCCGAAGCCTGTTCCTGTCGACCCTCCGAAGCCCGTTCCTGTCGACCCTCCGAAGCCCGTTCCTGTCGACCCTCCGAAGCCTGTTCCTGTCGACCCTCCGAAGCCTGTTCCTGTCGACCCTCCGAAGCCTGTTCCTGTCGACCCTCCGAAGCCCGTTCCTGTCGACCCTCCGAAGCCTGTTCCCGTCGACCCTCCGAAGCCCGTTCCTGTAGACCCTCCGAAGCCTGTTCCCGTCGACCCTCCGAAGCCCGTTCCTGTCGACCCTCCGAAGCCTGTTCCTGTCGACCCTCCGAAGCCTGTTCCTGTCGACCCTCCGAAGCCCGTTCCTGTCGACCCTCCGAAGCCTGTTCCTGTCGACCCTCCGAAGCCCGTTCCTGTCGACCCTCCGAAGCCTGTTCCTGTCGACCCTCCGAAGCCCGTTCCAGTCGACGACCCAGCACCAAGGGATAGTCCAGAAAAGCCTGGCAGTCCGCATGTTACGGGGATCTCCAGCAAGCAAGAGGTCACCTGTAGATGCTGGGGTTCCTGTTGACAAGGATCGAACCGAAGTGAGGACAGGGGGAAAGAAGAAACTCGTGAGCGATCGAGCATGGGATCAGGTGCCAACATCAGTACCTGACGCTCCTGACGCTGAACCGAACAAAGGAGCAGCACTTGCATCCTGCTGATCAATCAGCATGGGGGGGTTGAACCCTCAATGGAGGGTCAAAGGTGACCTTCTTTTCTGACGCTGGGGTGGAGCTCTGAACTGCAGATGGAGCAGGAGCCTTTTCCAAGGACAAATCTGTGGCGAGCATGCTGTCCAAGATGTCGTCTTCTTCGTCCTGTTTCGAAGAGCCTCATTTGAACTCCTTTGCATCATGGAGACAATCCAGACCTCGTCGTTGGAGTCGTCAGGTAGTCCAACCTCATTTGCAGCTGAAATCAGACTCTTTTCTACAGAGAATCTCGTGACTCGTTGCTACAAGGATCAAGTTTCATGTTCCTACCAGCACTGTCGGCCTTGAACGAAAGCTTTCATGGGGTACAGTCAGAAATTAAAGCGATCGTTCGCAAATCACCACCTTGGAAGCAGATCCTGCATCGGGGCTTGCTCCTGAAGGAATGGTGAGCATGAGAGGGTGTTGAGGTTTCTTCACCTAGGCCAGAAGGTGTCTCAGCCTTGGCAGGCGTTGAGAGGTTAGCCGAGGGATTCTTCAAAGTCAAGTCAGAGGCGGTTGGCTTTCTTGAAAGGGGAATCACTTTTTCTGGGGTTGATGTCTTGTCAGCTGCCGCCGGCAAACCGAACCCTTGGAACTAAGTCAGTCGCTGTTCACACCGAATGGACTAGCAGGTCGAGATTCCTTCTGAGATACCTCCAGATGAAGCAAAGGAGAACGAGGGTGTGGCACTGGATGAACCGAAGGACGACCCAAAGGAGGTGGAACCTAAGGCAATGTCAGCGAACAAGCACACAAAGTTCACCGACTACCACTGGTCGAAGCACCGAAGCCTGTTACAAGAATGGAATCAGATCGAAGCAAGATGGCCCCAAAATTCACGCTCACCAGAAGAGGTTGATTTTGTAGCAAATGCCATACCTGAAGAACAAATGTCAAATCGCTCCCACCGTGTCGACAAATGAGATACCAAAAGTAGGAGCAGTGCTGGAGGAGGAGGCGGAGGATGAGGGGGCGGAGGAGGAGCTGGACGGATTGAAGGCTATCAAAATGAAACAATCACTTCATGTAAAGTAGAAAGCATCATGCAATACAGAAAAGTGAAGTTCCTCCAGTGCCTGTGCCAAATCCTTGAGCAAGTCCCAAGTAAGAACAGGAAAAAACATGAAGTATTGAATGCAAAACAAGCTACCAGAGCTAGTGGCAGGGGTTCCAAACCCTGAAGACCCGAATCCAGAGCTAGTAGCAGGGGTTCCAAACCCTGAAGGCCAGGACGTTTGACAAGCAGTTGAGCCCAACTCAGTTGACATACCAAAAGAGGTGGTCGTTGCAGAACCGGTGCTAGCAAGCCCAAACCCTTAGCACCAATCACTACCATCAACGTTTTGATTTGAGTCAGACCTGTCGTACCGCTCGCCGAGGATGCAAACGAAAATCCTGCGAGCACGTTCACAAATGGATGTGCAAAGGCAAGACAAGTCTAGTATTTTACACTGCGAGTAACATACCTCCCGTTGACGCCTTTTGCTGTGCTGCAGCTGTTCCCCCTCCCTGTTTACCAAGTAAGCGTCTCATGCTAAAATCAGGTCCCAACCAATCCTTTAGCTACCTGCGCAGCCTTCGCCCAGGCCGGAGTTTCAACCTCTTTGATGCCCGTCGTCTCCCAGGGTCTGGCGGAGGCAGCTGGAAGAATATTCTACCATCATGTTCCGCCCCCATCACGCTGAGATCTGAAATCAAAGGTCAACCTGGTTTGGATGCTGCCGGCGCCGCCTGTGCTGCTGGTGCGGCCGGTGCTGCTGCTGGTTTGGACTCTGCAACTGATTCTTCATGTGAGATTCCAGGTAGTGATCACGTCGCATGATGCAGTCATATGATAGATCACCTCCTTTCGACTCTGCAGACTTTGATGCATCCGGGGCACTCCCACCCTGTAAGAAATTCACCTCTTAGGACCACAAGAACTTGAACGAACAACTGCTGCTTTAGCCCAGGCTGGCGTTTCTACAGGCTTGATACCAGTAGTCTCCCAAGGTCTGGCAGAAGAAGCTACGACAGACGTTAGCAAGTCAAGTCACAAACTCCCAGGCCTGCAATTCAAGTCACCGGGTTGGGCTGCTGGAGTCGGCTTAGCGGGAGCAGGGGTCGCCGATGGCTCTGTCTTGACTTCAGTCTTGACGACTGGTTTCTCGTTCTCCTTGTCAGATTGTTTCACTGCTGCCTTGGGCTTCTCAGCAGAAGCTGGCTGCCCCGCGCTCTGTGGAAACATCATCACAAATCGAAATCCAATAGTACAATACACACCTGACTTTTACTCTCACTGCCTGCACTCTCAGCTACATTGCTGAACCTCATGAACTCAGGAGGGAACGAACCCGCAGGGATGTTGAAGTTGAAGCAGAACACAGGCCCCGAACGAGAAGCGGATGCTTGGTTCTGCCCCGGCACCCCCGAAGTGACATTGCCACTGTTTGCACTGACGGAGGAGGCAGAGGAGGAGGAGGCAGTGCCAGCAGGCTGTTCACCCGGCTGGATAAAGTTGAAGTTGAAGATGAACTGAGCTCCTGCTCCTGCTCGGAAGGAGCGGTTAGATTTCTCCCCCGGCGTCGCTCGTGATGTCATCGGGCCTGAGGCAGCGTTAGGATGGTTGAGGCTCACGCCAAGCATGCAAGCATGCTGTGTGTTGAACTAGATGATGTTCCAGTTGCAAGCTTCTCACTTTCATCATACCGTTATATCACACTATATCACACAAAACTCAGCCAACCTTATTCGACCATAAGAGGTGAGAACCCCCCCACACACACATCACACTCTTTCATGCTCCCCTCCTATTCTTGTTTAGATTCAATGACCAGATTATATCACCATTCATACACCGACAAGTCGTGTTTCTTGATGAACGGCCAGTCAATTCAAGTACAAGGCTGCAAAGTGCTGAGATACAGTCCACTTCAAACCTAATATTTTTGTTGTTTGAATTCCAGCATTTCCTTCTACAATTTGAACAAGAAATAATCTGAATCCTTTCCTCCCATTTGAAGTTTCATCCCTTTCCCAAAGACTGATCACAGATCACCTTCCCTTCTACCATTTCTCCTCTCTCTTTTCCTTCCTCCTCCTCCTCATGGAAGGCTTCTCCTCCATACCTCCATGACCCGATCCCTATCGCTTCCTCCTCCTCCCTCCTCCCTCCTCCCTCCTCCCTCCCTCCCTCCCTCCCGCCATTCCTGACACTAGTTGTTCCACAGGTTTACTGATACCCACCCTTTTTCAATTATACCCCCTTTTTTCCCAGAATAAGGTGGTAAATTATGGGTAGGGTATACTACCCCACCCTACCAAATAAGCCGCTCTCGGCATCTCGAGTTTTACCTCAGTCATGATACAGACCCTCATCCCCACTCAGACCCTGACATCTAGTTGAGGCGGGCCCGAGCAACAGGCCACTAGTACACGCGATTTTGAAAATATTCAGTGCTTCGAAATAATTTGCATAATTTACATGAAATTCAAAGTTTTATAACAATATTTGAAAACATAGAGGAAATTGCTGTTTGAATACGCGTGACTGAGAAATGCACAAAACAATGCATGAGAAAAAAGCGATTTGAAGGATGACGATGATGATGATGATGAGGATGGAGGGGGGAGGGGGAGGAGGGAGGGGGAGGGGGAGGGAGGAGGGAGGAGGAGG